GAGTGACTCAGACACACCATCGCACAAGTATAAATGCTCACAAAGGCATAGGCAAGTAAAGTAAATGCTGCATAAGTCACAGTGAGGTTGCCAGTTTTAGCACCAGTGTGTCGGTGCAGAAATCAAAATGAGTGCCTGTGCTCACTGAACATAAAACATCAATGAGCCTTACAGGTGATTGTACATATATTTTTTAACTAGCTGTTTCACCCTGCTTACACTCTTTATGCTAAGCTAAGCTAACCACAGCATGACTCCAGAGTGCAAATAAGAATATTTCCCAAAATGCCGGACTCTTTTCTTTAACTTTTGGAATATTTTATAAACGATTATTTAAGAAATGATAAGTCTCTCTGTATTTGACACCACTGTATATTGTGTTCACTTCTCTTAAAGAAGCTCCGATCACTCTGAATTGTTTTTAGCATGTCGATAACAACATCTTGCTCCCTTTTGTTTTGGAACTAAACTCAAAATATCAGAAAAGAAAAAGCAGGATTTGGTGTCAGCCTTCTCTAAAACGCTCCCATCAGTCAGTGTGATGTGTTTAAAGAACCCCTGCCTCTCTCAGCCTCACATGTTGGCCGGCCTGTTCCTTCTACATTATACAGGTTTTTCTCTTTTTTCTACTGCCAAGTCTTTCCATTTTCTCCTCGCCAGCTGGTCAAGGGTCTCCTGCTGCCGCCAGGGCCCACAGCTCACTTCCTACTTTCTCCAGCACCTGTTCCTATTTGGCAAGGCCGACCGGGATCCTGAAAGCTTGGAGACGAGCCATCTGCTGCCCAGCTCTGCACCATTTTACCCCCGATCCCCCGAGTCTCTGCATGCATCCTGATTTTTCTTTTTTTGTTTCTGAAACACACAGCACTGCTGAAAGATGGAGTAAAAGCTGAAATGGATTGACCGGCAAATCAAAAAAACACCATTTAACTGAAGGGACAGGCTGTGAGAACACAGGTTATATCAAAGTAGAGCTTATTTACAGGTGGAGCGACTGAGAACTGTCACTTTACATCTCAAACCATCAGTTATTCTGACCTCGTCGTAGCAACATCTTATTTCAAATGTCTAATTCTAATAGACATTATTTATTCCATTAATGATGTTATCAAGATTGTAAAGTTGAGGGTTACATTTGAATTAATTAATAATGTTAGTCCTTAAAGATACAAGATTTTATTAGTAAGCTATCTAATGTGTGATTTACAAACATTAAAAACAACATTTTGCCTACTGAGAATGATGTTAAAATTAAGCCATTTTTGTTATCATCATATCAAAATAAGAGTTTGAAAGCTTCATTCTTTTTTTTTAAATATGATGCTTTTCATTCTGCATTTAAAGGCCCGAACAAACTCGGGCGGAACGTATGCGGAGCGGACTACGCGCAGGTCCACGCGGACTCAAAGCGGACGTCCGCAAGCCCTGTGCGCGCAAAGCTCATATTTTACGACCGCGAGGACTCCGCTCTGCACACCAGTGACTGCTCGGCATGTATTTTTCACATCACAGGGATTTTTCAGGACATTTTTACAGGAAACTACAACGTGGAAGTGCGCTCGACTATGAAAGCCCGAATGACTGCGGACATTCCTCGCGGAGTCCGCTCCGCTTATAGTACGCCTGAGTATGTTCGGGCCTTAAGGATCAGTTTCCCCCCACCCCAATTTTCTCTTCAAGAAGCCAGAAAAAGTTTCAACGGAGTAAAGTAACTAGTAACTATCAAACAAGTTCCCCAAAATTGTAGCCTACTTAAGTAAGTATAATTACTTAAGGCCCGAACATACTTGGGCGGAACGTACGCGGAGCGGACTTCACGGAGGTCCGCCCGGACCAAAAGCGGACGTCCACAAGCCCTGTGTGCGCAAAGCTCAGATTTTACAACTGCGCAGACTCCGCTCCACCCACCAGTGACTACTCGGCATGTATTTTTCACATCGACGCACAAGAATTGTGGGTACTGTATTGTGTTTCACAGACATTTTTACAGGAAACTACAACGAGGAAGTACGCTAGACTATGGAAGCCCGAATGACTGCGGACATTCCTCGCAGAGTCCGCTCCGTTTATAGTACACCTGAGTATGTTCGGGCCTTTACATCTCCATCTCTGCCTCGGTCATATAGAGCCTCATGCAATTAACCTTTCGCTAAGCCCCGCCCCTTTGTGATGTCCAACAAGCTGTCGCAGTAAGCATGGAGCCCACACTGTAACTAACTGCACTCCCTGAAGAAATATGATCATATTTTTGTAAGAATGAAAGAGTGATGTCAGAGAGAAGCAGACAAAGGGGTCTACAGTCTGTGTTTGAAAGATATATCCAGGATGTCAAACTGACTCAGCAGCAACAACAGGTTAAAAAGACAAAGATAGTTAGAAGCTAAAGCCGAACTATAGGCTACAGATCACAGTGTAAAAGTGAACCACCACATCACTGCTGATCAACACACAAGACAATGAATATAAAGGGAAACTTTGCTGATATTGAACCAGCTGTGTGGCATCACAGTGTGTGCAGATGAACAGTGTTTGGCTGCCAGAACCAGATCTCCAGGGAAAGTCCCAACAACTCACCCTAACCCCTAACCCCTAACCCCTAACCCTCTCTGTACGTCCGACAGGACAACAGAAAATTTGTTTGAAAAGACATCTTCATTCCCCTAACTTAACCCTAGAGATGGTTGTGGTGAAAATCCCAGTAAATACTCAGACCAGCCCGTCTGGCACCAACAACCATGCTACGTTCAAAGTCACTTAAATCACCTTTCTTCATCATTCTGATGCTCAGTTTGAACTTCAGCAGCTCGTCTTCACCATGTCTACATGACTAAATGCACTGAGTTGCTGCCACATGATTGGCTGATTAGCTATTTATGTTAATGAGCAGTTGAACAGGTGTACCTAATAAAGTGGCTGGTAAGGGTATATTTATACATATATATTTACACACATACACACACACACACACACACACACATAGACAGCTGGCCAATAGAGGGTGATAGGGCGCCGCCCCTCCTTGAGCCACAAAAGAAAGATGATGATAATAAATGTATGATTATCATCATCATTATTGTCATATACACACACAATATAGTAATTATTCTGATAATTTTCACTTGAAACAGCTCATTCCTGCCTCTGAATATCCAATCAGCTGCAGTGTGAAGTCGCGTTCCGACCATTTGGGGCGATATCAGCCTGGATGGAAATCACCCCGATTCACTCTCATAGACTTTCATGTAAAAGTCCTAAAACTTCCTAAATGCAGGCACTCCAATGCAATCTCTGTGTGTTCCAGGAGAGCTTGCCCCAACCAGAGCCCTTGACAGCACTGGATACAATAGTCTGGGGCCATTTAGTGGCCGTTTTGGTAAGGAACTGGAACCAGGGCGAGAGAGACAGGATCCGGAATTCGATGGATGCACCTTTACATCAAAATAAAAGCACCAAGCTAATAAAAATGCAGTGAAACTTTTTAATTTAAAGAATATAATTACAAGAAAAGCCCCAAGCCATTAAGTTAACATTTTTTCTTTTATTGTAAATCGATGGTGTGCCAGAATTTAAAGTTTTACTTTGGTGAACACTTTTACTTTGGTGAGTGTGGTGAATTCCGGATCCGCTCTCTAGACCGAAACCAGAATCCAGACAAAACAATAGAAGCATATTAATCAAGAGAAAATCCTTCTTTTACAATGAATGGATGGAGAAAGGAATCTGGTCGATTATACATTTATTAGATAACTGTGGCAAGGTATTAACATATGACGGTTTCATTGGAAAATACAATCTTGTCTGTACTAATAGGCAATACAGCACTGTGACTGAGGCAATCCCACAAGCAATGATTCTTTTAATCAAAGCATACTAACCTATTCAGTGGTTATTCCACAAGAGCCTTCGATATAGATGGTTGCAACTTTTTAGATAAAAAATGCAATAATAAAATTTTAAGGAATACCCTCACTTCAATTTGTTTCCCATCACCGCTGAAAAGAAAATATCTGTTGCAAAAATACACAAAAAATGTTATAACTAAAATAAGATCCAGCTACCTTTCCTTTCCAGTTCCACCAAAGGTGAAAGAGGTTCATTTTAAGATTCTGAATGAGGTTTATCCTTCAAATGAATTTCTACATCTAAGGTTTAACTTGGATCTGAATAGTTGTACTTTCTGTAACTCTGAGATTGAAACCACAGGACACCTTTTTTTCTCTTGTGAATTAACTATTGGGACGCCTTTCAAGATTGGATAACCTGTCAAAATACTCCAATTTTAACATATGAAAACATAATGTTTGGTATTCAAATGGAGGACAAAAAAAAACAGAATTTGGGAATAACAATTTAATTCTTTTGGCCAAATATTTCATACATAAATGCAGATTTTTAAAAACTACCCCTACATTTAATGCATATCTAAATGAGATAATATTATATAAAAGAAAAATGAATAAAGCCCTACACATTTATGAATATTTATGTAATTCCTGACTGACCAGTTGTGTTGTTTTATTTGGTTATTTTATTTTGATTAGTGGGTTATTGATTTTTTTTTATGTCTGTCTTATTATTTAATTGTATCTATGTTCATATACTTCTGATATTGCTGCTCAGTTGTCAGTCCTAAGTAATTATTCACTCTGTATAAAACTGCCTTTTTGTATTGTATTATAGAAATGTTCAATAATGAAAAAACAAACAAACAAACAAACAAACAAAAAACAAAAAAAAACCCAGGCTCTTCCCCGTACGTGAAGAGCCTGGTGACGCGAGGCTAGGATACAATGTAGGCCTAATAACATGTTTTGTGATTGGCTGCTAATATGCCCATTTTACCTGATGTCCCAAAACTTCTCCCCAGGCATACAGTATTTCTGTACATTTGATAATAAAGTAGAATAAAAAGCCAAGTTGTTATGGACTACAACTCCCATATCAAAAGCAACGCCGACTCTCCTGCGCATGACCAAGAAGGTGGGGCGCGCGAACCCATGCGGATATTGCTATGTAAAATGGCGGCGTGAGACTCGTTCAAAACAGAGGTCTTTACCGGAGACGCTGGTGAGCTAACATCTCTGAAACCGTCTGCGTTACGTGGAGCCGTCCGTGAATCACTCAGAGGAAGAGGTTGGAATTTACATTCCAGAAAAGGTGACTTTAAATTCAGTAAAATAATAATTAAAACCAGACTGTGTGAGGAGCTAACGTTAGCATCCAGGTGGTATTTAACATGACGTTAGCTGCTAATGTGTGCGGCCCGGTTAGCTTTAACGCCGCTAGCTTACCGGTTAGCACCCTGAGGTGGATGGTAGAAACCGGGATGAAGTTATTAGAAGGCTTGTCTGTGCCTGGACAGTTAAGTGTTAATTATTTTACCTGGTTAACCGTTAATCTGACTGAACCGTTAATCATCGGATCATATAAAGTATATAATGTGATAGTCTGGATGGAGAGCTAACCAAGTGATGCTAGGTAACTGTTACCTAACTTAAACTCTGTGTGGTGTCAGTGTGAAGTGTTAAGGGAGTTGATTGGAAATAAAATTATCTATGGCAGAGTCGTTAATTCTCAAACTTTGTATTTGATGTGATAACTAATGTTCCTGTGAGATGAACTGTAAACCGGGTTTATACATAAATGTCCAAAATGTTGAGGTCTTAGTTCATTAAATGTGAATATATGCTGGTTTAATAGACTTCTGTGCTTGTAAACTGAATATATTTCAGTTTTGAATTGTTGATTGTATGAAACAAGACCTTTAAATGCGTCACATTGGTCTCTGGAAACTTAATACACCAGTTTCATTTATGACTAATGAGTAAAGCAGTTCATTGACAGAGAAACTGATAGAGTAACCACATAACATAAATCACAAAACAAATCATTGCTCTTTTACAGACTGCTTTACTACCTGTTTACACCACTGTCTTAATATTGCTTGTTCTTACAGTATCATACAATAATTATTCCATTCCTGTTTACATTTGTTTATCCACTTTGCAATTACTGTACATCTGACCGCAAATATTTGTGTCTGTTTTAAACATGTGATAATTTATCCCAATATTTTAACTACTGCGCTACTCATGTCTTAGATTATCAAGCTCTTTTCATACATATTTAACGAGTAAATCCTGAGTAAAGCCTGAAATCTGAGATCCAGGAAGGACTGCTTCTCTGTAACTGTGGACATGACTACCCTGAAAGTGAATTAAAAGCCTGAAACTTGGGCTGTGGGAACTTTTGACAGCACCGTTTTACACCATTTTCTTTAAAGAACAAAGAGTGAGAAAATAAGAAAGAAAATATTCAGACAGATAAAGCAGCCAAGAAACATAAATCACAAAAACAACAAAAACCCATAGATAAGAAATAAAGGAAAATAGAATACTGTCTGCCCACTAACTAATAGACTATATATTAGTAGTAGAAGTAATTTATACTTTAATAATGAAAGTAATCAAAGCCTTACAACTACAAACATCCTGCCGATGTGTTGTACGAATATTCTGGAGGGATACCATCAGTACATTTACCCTACAGTGTACTTGAGTACAGTCTTGAGATACTTGTACTTTACTAGAGTATTTAGCAGGTACAATATTCCACTCAGAAATGTGGAGAAGTAGACGTATAAAGTCTGTGTCATTGTTTTAACGCTCTTTGTTCGGCTTATTTTGTGAACATCTGGTTTGTTCAGTCCAGTATGACCCAGCCGATGAACTGCTTAGATAAGATGGTGGCCCGCTAACCGTGTTACTGTTCTCTTTCTGTGTCACAGAGCAGGTGGGATGGCGAAGAGGATCGCTGATAAAGAGCTAACGGACAGGAACTGGGATCAGGAGGAGGAGGGAGAGGAGGTGAGTCGCAAATATACACAGAAACATTTAACTTAAATTCAGACTAAAGCAGTGTGGACACAGATTTTTGGTGTTGGTAGCTTGAGAGAATTAAAATAATAATCTGGGGAAAGGAGCTATGACCAGTTATTAGTAATTTATTTCGGCTTTACATTGAAAGACGACATCGACAATTGATAAATAATGATATGTTGTAAATTTGTTTTTAGCCTAAATTTGCATTTTCCTGACCTAGAAAGACGTATTGCAGGTGTTATAGCATCTCCAAATCCCCAAATTTTCCCCAGAGTTTACAGCTTTTTTATTTTGAAACTCAATAAAAACTGATGATTTAAAACCTTGAATACAAAGACATCCATGTTTAGATGTTTGATTGGTCAGATTTAGGACGATGGTGATGCATTAACCTGTAAATCTGATGTGTCCTTCCTCAGGCCGGAACGTTTTCAGTTGCAAGTGAGGATGTGTTGAAAAACCGGGCGATTAAGAAGGCCAAGCGCAGAAATATTGGAGCAGAGGTAAAACCATCAATGAGTTTCACAGAGTTTCACATCACATTGTGAAACAAAGGTTGAGTAAAGACTCAACGACATAGATTCCTCTTTTTGTCTCAGCTTTCATCAGTAACCCCACACAGTGTTTTGCTGCTTTCTAAATGTCCTCTCTTGTCTCAGGCCGAGGGAAGTGGAACCTTCAAAGGTTTTAAAGGGTTTTCTTTGACCACGTCAGCAGCGAGCGGAGGCTCAGCTCCAACAGCGTTTTCTGGTTTTGGAAACGGAGGAGGCTTTAAGGGCCTGAGCGGTCTGACCAACGGAAATAGCATCACCCCTTCATTTGGAGGTTTCTCATCTCCTGCAGCATCCACTGCTACACCTGGTGAGGAGACAACTGTTGGCCTTTGATATGAATTCACTTACTGATATTTAACAGACAGAAAGTTCAGCCTATTTCCCACTGCACAAAAAAAACACCGACTTTTTATTGCAGTGGGAAAGGTGGGTTTACCTCTGTATAAAAAACCCTGTGTTTACACTAATTTTGGTGGACAAGGGGTACTGGAGGTGTGTTCTGCCTGTATCACCAGTTTGATCGTTATTAGCCATGAGGGAGGTTCTTTCTGCTGCTCAAACAGGCAGAACAACCACAGCAGGTCTGTTTAACTGCAGCGACTGTGACCATGACTCACTGAAATCACATTATATGTGACTGACAAAGAGAGAACTCTGTGGTGGACATGTTGTCTGCAGTGACTAACCAGCAGAGGAGAACAAGACTAATAAAGTGTGTGTGTGGAGAGTTCTGATTTCTGTCTGACTGTGGGGATAAGGTGGAGCATGATGTGGTCAGAGTGTACCAGTGCAGAGCGGAGGTTTAGGAGCAGTCTTTGGACATGTAAACAGCGCATATTGAATGTGCGTTTCAATTAAGGTTTTTAACCACAGTTTGCAAAATAAAGCGTCTTGTCCGTTTACAGTCAGCTCTGTGCGTGTCACAAACCAACTAGCCAAGAGCCTGGAATTCTGGGTCAGAGATGCACACCCTAAACAAAAATTAGACATTTCTGGTCTTTGAAACATCCTGACAGACTTGGATTAGGCCTGCCGTGATATGCAATAAGTCGGTTAATGCACGGTAAATTAAAAGGGATTGATTGGCATATTCCTGCATGTTTGTTTTCCTCGTCTCTCTCCACCAAAGAGACTGGACGACAAGAGCGTTCACTGCCATGCATCGTCTGGCAGCCAGGTGAGTTGGTTCATTAGCGTAATGAACGGAGGGAAAGCTCTTGTCATCGAGTGTCTTTGTCTCTGTGGGGGAGGCGGGGCTATGGGCTACACACACACAGTGCGATCTTCATGAGGGTGAGACGAGGCGAGTTGAGCGTCAGAGAAAGACAGGGAACTTGTTCCTAAACCAAACACCACGGCCCCTGTGCGGGAGTGTTTTGGATTTAAACCAAATGACAGAGGGGAGCCCAGTAATTTGGACAAGCTGGTGTGCCGGGTTTGTTCTAAAACCATCGCAACAAAAAGAGCGAATACGACCAACTTAACTACACACCTGAGAGTGAGAGACTGACAGTCTATTTTTTTGTATTTATAAGGTCTTTATTTATTTATTTCGGATATGTAAATTTTTTGCATTCCTAAATATTCTTGTTAAATAAATGTTTATTTCTCTTTAAAAGGGTGCACTTGCATCATTATGCCTTTATTATCATTATATAAGTTTAAAAAAAATGGTCTAAAAACAGCAAAAATACAACAATTACAATAATAAAAATGGTCTTAAAAACACAATATTACGCAATATTATCGCAATAATTTCTGACGCAATTAATCGCCCAGCAAAATCTGTTATCGTGACAGGCCTAACTTGGATACCAATATGTTTTTGGATATGCACAAATATCACAGCACTGACCTTTTTAAGAAGTTGAAGGAATGAAAGAGAGGCTGTGTTCGCCACCAGTAGGAAACTCCTACCTAAATAGGAAATCCTATTTTTTTGCAAAGAAGCAAAATGCCAAGCCGCTTCAGCTTTTCCACTTTTCTGTATTTTAACATGATAAACGATATGATAGGGCACATTAATCGAAGTCTGCACGGCTGCAGTATTAGTGGAATATTCGTTTCATTAGCCATGTTAACAGCTTTTGCGTATGCGAAGTTAGTCAATAATCCAAAGTACTTTCAGATCCGGTTATTTGACAAACTGCCTGTCCACTACTTTCTGCAAGCTCTTTTAGGTTTTCAAACTAACAAATACACAGTAGGAACTCACAGAACTTTAAGAAAAGTAATATTATCACATCTGTTTTCCTTATTAACAGAGAAATACAACTGTACATCTTTTCAATTCTCGTTTCTCTCAGTCATGGAACTGAGAGTGGCGTAATTGCGTTGTCGTTATCTCACTTCATTCAAACTCTACTCATCCAGTTAGTTAGTCCACTGTCCCAACAATCAAAAACGATCAAAATTAACCTTAATTCTCGTAGATGCAGAAAATTATGCTGTTTTCTCCAACGTCTCTCAGTCGTTGCTGTTTGCAGTCCTGTGCACCAGATGGGCGTCAAAAAAATGAGAGGTTTCACTATGCACACGCGCTGTTCATGCAACCAATGTGACTCAGCGTTACTCCTCCACCACTATGTGTCACTGTGTCTTGCTGCCTGTTTCACAGTAGAGACCACAGACTGACCTCTGGTGGTGCGTGCTGTGTGCACACAATGAGTTTAATAAAAAGAAGTGCCTGTATTTATGACAGCATTTCTGAATACCCTGGTGATACCGCCCAAGCCTGGTCATGGCTTAGTTTACCCTTTGTTAAGTCCCCATGAACAATATCTAATAAGCTCAGGTTTGTTGTTTTATTAAGGTGAGGCCACGTTTAGGTTTAAGGAAGTGGGAAATAAATCCACAGGTATTGTTTCCCTGTTGTTCATACAGGTACTGCAGATTAACACTGAATTAACAAAAGAAAACAATGTGCACCAACACATCAGCGCCATCTTGGCAAGTTTTTTTTACAGTGAAAACAGTATTTTAGCATAAATAATAATAATTAATAATGATATAAAAAAAATCTTTGTTTAGGTATAAATTAAGTCACTGTTTAGAACTACTTAATTTTAAGAAGTAAGTAGTGTGTGTGTTT